TAGTTCCAGACCAGCCTCGAGTTTATCCTGTAATTGTCAAATGTTTTGATCGCAGCTTCACGGTTATAGAGAATATACATATTTCTATTACAGAAATCCCTTTTAAAATAATCATAAGTATATGCCTTATCCTTCAGCCTAAAATTAAGTAATATACTCTCCAAGGCTAAAACTGTAACTTTGTCTCAAACCATAGCCATTCATTCCAGCTCTAGTGCCTTAACTGATCTTCAAGTGTGAACTAGATATGTCCCCGTTTTCGTACAGGAATGGAACCTATTTCACATTATATACTGTCAGAAAGTCTAACCGTGAATGGATTTGGAATGTAAGCCCCGGAATCATTGTAACGGTCCCCATCTGTGAAATGGATTGTCTCATGACCCGCGCTTGGCTCTCTTTTCCGTGCCAAATAGACTTGGATTTTCACTGTTTATTGCAAATTAAACCTCTATTTTCCCGAATGGATCTCGGCCACCATCTTGAAAAGACGAAGAGGAGCCCTAGGTGGACCTCAGCTGCCTCTGTAGGAGCTGTTTTCCTTGCACTAGTTACTTCTTGGGAGGCTAACCTCTGCAGGATAATCAGTTTGCCCCAACTAGTCTTATATTACATCCCTGGCTACCATATCATGGCAGCATAGATGATTTTGGATCTCACCATCATGGTGTACAATCAGTTCACTATTCTTCGTTCAGTATCCATGTCTCTCAGAAAAGTGAATTTGTAGGTCCAAAAGGCCCTGTGAACTTTATTTGTGACTTCAACCAGTTGCGCACCACACTTCTCTTTCTTGGTGAGCTTCAGTCCAAGGTATTTGAGTTCAGTGCAGTTTTATAGTTTTACCAAAGAGAGTTGCTTCCTCAGACAGTTTGAATCTCTCTTTTTTGTAAAATATGTGCCTTTTGCTTGGGTTTATATGCCTGTCTCATCATCGTTGCACCAGTTCTCCGGCTGATTGTAGTATATCTTTGAGGAAATTTCCCCTTGAATGGGATTGCGATATCATCTGCATGTCCCACTGCACAATAATATTATTCATTGAGCTCTTCCAGCTCATCCACGACCAGACTTCACAGTAGGGCGGCAAAACTCTCTCCCGTCTGCGGGCAGCATCTGGTCGCAAAAACCAAATAGGTCTCGCGAGACAGTGTGGCTACTGCGTTGTACTCTGTGTGCAGATACGCATCTCATTGCACAGCCAACGATAATCCAGATTGGGCCAAGATGCCCACGAGAAAGATCATCACATTTGTTGGAGTGCAGTAAGGGTCATAAAACCGAACCCAATATCATCTACAGAAAATATAATTAGTCTGCACAAATGGCTTTACTATCCAATCCCAAAAGCCAGCCTAGACTAGGTATATCTCCTGTTGTCTCAGAAGAGGTCAAATTATTGCAACATAATCTTAAAACTTTGCATAACGTGTACTGTATTAGAATATAAAATAAGCAAACAAACGAACTATTAACACTATATAAAAGACACTAGTGCCGTAAGCGTTTCAACCTCGAAACAGAAAATAATAATTAAATTAACTTTTTAGACCTCACCATATATAGACACCTAAAAGAATTCCAATTCGGCATCTACAGGTAACCCACATTCTCAGATATCGTAATACACAAAACATCTAACCATTCCAACTCTCACAAACAAGCTGCATTCAATTTCCTTGTAAACAGATTGCACAAAATACCATTCTCCAAAAACGAATTCGGTAAAGAAACCATACAACAACCGTTACAAGTTTAATGATATAATAACTTATAACCTAATAAAAGCACCTAAACCCAATGTCAATGTTCCCCAACCACTAATAAGGTATGGCCCAGCTTTACATTTTTAATAATAGCATTATAACACTCACTAAAATATTCAAAAACACAAATGTAAAAGTAGCATACAAAGTTAACAATACCATAAAATTCAAATGCAGTTCAAGAAAACAAGATAGCAAATACAATTATACTGTTGTATATCAGTTAAAATGCGGAAGCTGCGAGCAGGTCTATATTGGCCAAACCTAGATTTAAAGAACACGTCCACGACATCAGATTCAATTTAACAAAATCGAAATATGCAGAACACATCCTCGAACACGGACACGAATACGGCCCCATACATGATATCATGGACATATTAAGAATAGCTTCAAAGCGTAAAATGCTAGATATTTTAAAAAAATTCCATATATACGAACGCAGTAAAAACAAAGCCATCATTAACGAACGAAACGCCCATAATTTTAACGTATTATTTGACCTAGAATTAAACATGAAAAAGTAAATTTTCAATAGTTGGCCACCCTCATTTCAAGCTTATATATACCCCACGCATTCCAAAACTGGCAGTAACACCCACGCTTCGTTGGAGTTCGCAGGTACGGACGACGCAACCACGGCTCGCCGCAGAACAGCTACGGCCACCGGACCATCGGATCAATAGCTAAGTGCAGAGTTTAACTCCTGTGAATACCAACATCCAGTGTAGTGTTACCTGATATTCTTTTGTAAAATACTCTACTGCATTATTGGTTTTCTAAACCGTTTTTAAACCATTTTGATTAAATGAATTAATTTCCCTGTGGCCACTGATGATGACCTCTTGAGGTTGAAATGCGTATGGCATACTGTCTTTTTTATGGTGTTAATAGTTTGTTTGTTTGCTTATTTTATATTGCAACATAGTTGAGCTCGGTCTTGTATGAACCTTTTACATCCTTGAGAGTCGTTGTGTACTTCATCTTTTGATATTTTGAAGGTCAGAATATGTATTTTCTACTTGCTCTTCAATTTGTTTTTACAATTTTTTGCATCTTTAATTCTTTTTGTGTATTAGTTTATTGGACTTTCGACAGTATGTTACCCTGATCATATGCACCAACTCTTACCTATGTTACGTAATTTTTGGAGAAAGTTATTTTCCTTATCGCTCAAGGGGTTTGCTGTCCTACTCTGATATCCACTTCTGCTATATTCGGAGATTACGATTAGCTCTATCGATTGGGGCCAAAAGAGTAGGTTTTACATGAAGACGGAGATAGACGCCGATTTACGAAATATCGTGGTTTTATTGGTTTTATTTAATCTCCGACGATAGATAATGTCCAGAAAACAATTTGCTTCAAATTTGCCTCTAATTTCAGGAGTCTCAACATTCGAGCTGTTTTCGTCAATCATGGCCTACTCCATGTGCATCTATGCTGTAACAACGGTTATAATCTGTTTCATCCTCGGAGATCTGTCGTCCGTGCTGTTTTCTGAGAAGATCGATTTCCTGACCACGATCTTCTACTCAATGCTAATTTTGATTTTGTTTACTTCCATAAGTTCACCTGTACTTCTATGGCTGGACGCCTCCAACTATGTTGATTACATCAACAAGTGGACTAAATTTCAGGTATGTAAATTAATTTTTGAAAGCAAATGGTAGATATTGTTGAAACCCGAAAAGAGATTAATTGAAAAAAGAAACTCACTGAATTACAGAAGAAACTTGCTTCTCTTTCAGATGCTGTTCCTCAAAGTCACTCATAATAGACTGTCATTGAACGTCAAGAAACGCTGCATTTTTAACGCCATCCGCTGCTCGATTATTGGGTTTTCAGCTATAACATTTCACTTCTTCATTCCATACCTTAGCATATGGCAAATTCCGGGCTTATTCTACACCATAACACTAGTTAACTGTTACTTAACACTTTGGATTATCACGTGCAGAACTCTATCAACAGCCGGAAAGTCTCTGTCCAGGAATTTTAAGGTCTGCTATAAGAAACTGACAGTTCAATTTACATATGTTCCCTTCTAACTCCAGGGTTCATATACAGTAAGTGCATTGAATTTTAATATCAAACCTTCTTATTATATCTTAAAACGTCGCCAGAAGGGAATTCAGTCTCTTTGCGAACGTTGAAGGTATGTGAAGATCGACGTCTTCCGTTTGACACTGATGAATAGATATGGATTAAATTTGATATTAAGGGCCTACATGAAACGTTATCGGGTGGAATTTCCTTTAGTGTGTAGGTATCCAGCAGTTCGTAACTTTTACTTTATGAGAAGTTCAAAAAGAATTTTGTCTAATTAAGAAGTATGGTTGATTCTACAAATTATAAGCTTTGGGTAATGAGCTAACAGGAGACTAAAGAAACGTGCACTAGCAAAAGTTCGGGGACGATAAAAATACATAAAATTATCTATTAAGCATAAGATTTAATAATTGACTTGCCTCAATCTCTTCTAATTAACAAACGAATCGAGCAAACTACAGTCTGATATAGGGCTCTGTATTTTCTAAAATTTTCCTTGACATATATTAATGACATCTTTCTTGTTTTCGTCTGATTCAATTATTTTATCAAAAAATGTAAGAACAACATAGATTCAGAGGGTGTACAGTATATGTTTAAACGTCCCTTAACATGGTTTTTGAAGAACGAATGCGCCAATTAATAAAAGATAAAGTCCACACCAAATTACACTCAAATTTGTCCATTGGTTCTAGAGTTGAATCCCGCGCACGGACGGACAGACGGTCATTCTTTCGTTTCTTGCAAGAAACGCGCAATAATTCAGTACTTAGCTGTGTTGTCTTAGATATGTTTAGCGCTGCAACAATGGAGTTATATTTGCTATAAATAAACTAGAAGGGCAATAGGATATTAAATATTCCAAATTACACAAATTATATACATACCTGAACAACAAAACTAATAAAAAAATTTTCACTCTTTTCGTATAATCCTAGGAAATTAATCCATGATGAACTGGCCTATCGTTAAAATTTATCATCTTGAAAACAAGAACAATCGATACGGCAGTTCAGAGAATTCCCGATTGTTTTCTTTGCACTTTGACATTCTGAGTTCTCTTAACAACTTTAGGATATTAATGACATACTCTCAAGAAACTGATCTCATTACTACTCAATTCACTTCATTTCCACTACAATTAATCACTTAGAAAGAACACAAGGCTATTTATAAATGCTATTTTTCTCTTCTGATCTACTGTTTCAATTGCTCATCAGAAACAAGATGTTGAGATAATAAGAATTTAAATATACGGCCTTAAATTCAAGTTTAAAATATTACAAAGTGTATAAGATGTGTAATATTTTATGTCACGGAGTCTCTTAATTTATCATTTATAGAGAAAAGTAATTTGTCCAAAAAACACAACGTATATTTTATACATTTAGCAAACAGCTTCATACGAAAAAGTTACAAATCAAGTTCTGTTGACGTCGTGTTTAGACAAGGAAAATAACGAAATTTAATTCTGCTCATGAGGTAGCGTCCACCCTATCTTCTTTCATTTTATCAAAAGATAATACTTTGTGAAGAGGAAAATTTTATAAATCTCGTCACTATGGAGTATCCGGCATTTACTGTATAATATGAAGATTTATAATTTGGTCCCCCTCTGCAGGAGGAACTGAGGCGGAAGCGTTACACAGCGCAGAGCATAGGGCGGTACAGAATCCTCTGGTTGCGACTCAGCCAACTGGTCTCCGGGTCAGGTATGCCGCTTTGCAGTACCGGTTATTGAACAAGGGACGCAACTATGGAATCTGATCTTAGAATAAAGTAGATAGATAAACTCATTACCAAGATCTTCATATCGTCAATTCCTTGTGTCTATAAAACAGATAATCTTCGTCTTCCACACGGCAACTTTCCAAAACTTATGGCCATCAAACCATCTGTATGATTTCATTATAACCGTACTAAATTTCCAGCCGTAACCTTCATCCAACATTTCTGTCCACTGTGTAAATCATGAATTTATGTGTTATATTTATTATTTACTGAGATCTGATAGGTTCAAACAAAGATGTCAGTGCATTTTTGACGTAAATACGTCTATAAGGATGGGTCATTCGGCAAAATTGTGTTACTAAAAAGTGTTACGAAAAAGGGAAACGAAAAATTGTAACTTCATTGTTATGTTACCTAGGAAAATTCATCTGTTAACTCATCATTTTTGTTACCTAGGAAACGTCATCTGTTTACTTAGCATTGTTGTTATCTATAAAACATTACATTACATTACATTACCTTACCTTACATTAAATTACATTACATTCATCTACCACTGACCCATTTTAAGCGTAACTAATTGAAGTTGAATAATCAATGTCTTAATCAAACTTATCTCAATTGTAAAGCATGTATAAAGGAAATATTTAGAAAAAAACCAATATATAAACTTCCTTTCCGTATAGACGAATTTACGCCAAATTCTCCGGAACCGTGGTTCCACTATCACTTTTTGAGTAGATAAGCTACTAGTAGCTTTTAAAGAGAGTTATTCTTGTAGGTCTATCACAGTTCTTTGAGTGGAGGATACAATATATTAAACCCAATGGTAACACGTATTTCAATCTTAACATGACCTTGAATGTAATTTTGTTCAGAAGAAATATTTCCAGTGACATCCATTAAAGACATTCAAGGATCAAGGTACATCCTTCAATGTTTATTTTTTAGGTGGCGCTATGGAAAAAACTTCTTGCTTGTTCTTTGCTGTTCATCTGTTCATAATCACCATGTCCTTGTATGGTTTCTTGTACGGGATTACTAGCGAAGCGGAAATACCTATTCAGTCAATTGGAATGGGTATCGGAACAGTGACTGGAGGATGTACGTTCTATGTCACCTGTAATGCTGCACACAAGGTTCATCTAAATGTAAGGCTATTGTAACATAAGGTTCTACTGCGTACTTAAATAACCTCAAGGCCTTGCAGCTGACACGCCCCAAATTACCGTTGTATTTGCCCAATAAGACGGCAATATCGTCGTTGTATGTGTGGTACTTGGATCTCACCCTAATCATTGACGTAACTCCATTAAATTTTGATTACGATGCACACCTCCTGGGGTTAGGCGATCTTGTTGGGCATAGTGGAACCAATTAATCTATAAAATATGGTGCAAATTACCGTTCTATTTGCCCAATATGACGGCAATATCGTCGTTGTATGTGTGGTACTTGGATCTCACCCTAATCATTGACGTAACTGCATTAAATTTTGATTACGTTGCACACCTCCTGGGGTTAGGCGATCTTGGTGGGCATAGTGGAACCAATTAATCTATAAAATATGGTGTCAGAGGCAATCTGTGTAAAAACCAACAGCAAAATTGCGTTTTTAGTCCGTTGTACGCTCTCAAGTTATGTTTCTAGTCTATATATCAATTTAGATATTTTAATGTTTCACTTATGTTTTGCTCCGTTACGTAGGTTAAAGTGGAAATAGAAGAAGAATTGCAGCTCATCATGTCGTCGAGAGAAAATCACGATGTCTTGATAGAGGTAAGAATATTTCAGAAACACGACATTCGCTGGCGCTAAAGGTGGGTCGGTTTTTCAAGGTGGTCCAGCCCGTGTTAATACCTTCTCGATCTCCTGTTGTGCGCTCACAGGAAGAAAAACGACAGAACACATTCCCGCAAGTTGGGCAGACGCAGATGACTGAGAAATGGAGGCAAAAAAATTTACTAATATTTGCATACAACCAGTCCCATTATGCACAGAAAGAAAATTTCTCTAATTCATTTATAGAACCTATTAACTATGTTTGTAGTGTTTCTTGAAACATATTTGTAAGTACTCTAAACAACACCGATACGTCACAATGAACTTTAGCTCTTTGGTGGGATAACGGTTTCGCAATGTTGGCAACCAAAGATCGAATCCTAGCCATGTCAAATTATTTTCCTTTTCTTATGCACCTTCCATGTTGTTGTTCTACACTATATAAATATTTATTGTACCAAAATTTTGTATTTCCCAAAAATCTATTACCATACGTCATTGTATGGCCTTATCACAAGTAGAGTTTATGTTGATCCCACACAATAAGTTTGTTTGCCAGCCATGTTTATTATTACTGTTTACAAGAAACTGATAATCACTATTTTAAAGCAATCGCCAATGGCATACCAAATTTCATCCAAAAACCATCTAGTGGTTGTCGAATTGAGTCATATGAAGTGACCAGCCCTATTTACGTTCATTTCATGTACATTGTGCAAATAAGCACAACAATGACATAAGCAAGTCGAAAATATGGGTTTTCTGAAATGTCGGACACTTTCCACGGAACTATACGCCACAATATCCGACAAAACAGTTATTTTAGAGTTAAAACTATGTTTAATATTTGTAAGGTCTTTTACAAATTTCAAATTAGAATTACTTCCAAGGCACCGCATCAATATGCAAATAACAGTACCTTAATGATGTTACGGAAAATAATCATTATTCAATCTTGACACCTAAAGAATATACAGATTGTCCTGCAATAGAATGTCCTTAACTTAACTACGTGTTCTTGGGATCAGTGTAAAGAGGTCTGTTACTTCAATTACACGAAGGGGTCAACTCTGCATCGACAATCAGTCTCGCTATTTCGAGTCACGGAAATAACGTGAGTAATTGAAAATGAATTTAGAGTTAGTCTGAACTTAATAATAAGAATAATGATAAATACAAGGTGACCTAAAATTAAATGGAAATAATATAAAAGTTACAAATTCAATAACATGCCCATTCTCATTTTCTTGGCAAACCGATGCAGATCGGACCCATGATTATTTGAACTTTTCGGCTTATAATTGTCCCGAGAGTAAAGCTTTGGGCATCCTGTTGTGGGGCATACTGTATACAAATAAGTGAGTCAAAAGTATTTTTACAATCTGTGTGTGCGTGTTTCAGGATCAAAAATAAGAAAAAATGTTCCTATGAACATGGGGACGCAAATCTTTCATTTTCGAAATAATAACCAAAAATAAGATTCAGTGAATGACTTTATATCAAAGTCAATCCAGCTTTCAGTAAAGATTTTCAATAAACGTTTGTGCAGAAATTGTTGACGACATGCTTATTGGTCCATACATGCTTTCATCACGTGTAAGAGGACCTTCATATCGGCGATTCTTAAGATGACACTTGCCACGTCTCCTAGAAGATTTACCACTAAATAAAAGAAAACAAATGTGGTTTATGCACGACAGGGCCCCAGCACACTTCTCCCGTCAAGTCAGAGAACATTTCAATGAACAGTTCCCTCAGCGACGGATTGGATTCGGTGGTCCAGTAGCATAGCCACCGAGGTCACCGGACCTGACTCCATTGGACTTTTATCTGTGGGGTCACTTGAAGTCCGTCGTTTAAGTAACACACGTAAACAATAAAGACGACCTATGGGAACGTGGGCGGAATGCATGCCAGATGATTCGAAGAAACCCTGTTGTGTACGAACGAATTCGTGAGTCTTGTGTACGTTGTAGTCGTGTATGTGTGGAGAATGGAGGAGCAACCTTTGAGCATCTGTTATAAATAAACATCTCTGTCCTTATACTTGGCAATAAAGGCATACATTGAAAATTATTTTTGGCTATTATTTTTAAAAATGTGCATTTGTAATCACGTATTCATAGGAACATTTTTTCTTACTTTTAATTCAGGAACTTGCAACAGAAAGTTAGTTAACATACTATTGAAACACTATGTATATGGCGAAATGTTGAGTTATTTAACTGTAAAGCAAGTGGTACATATAGTTACCACAATGCTCTAAAGCAGACACAATTCTCTCTCTCTCCAAACTCAAGAGCACACAGAAGCCTACATATAGTAAGTACACGTATACACTGCTAATTCCTTTCATTGCCAGTCTATAAACTCGCATCAAATTGCCATCAATATTTAAAAGACATTTTGATGTTAATTAAATGTACTGAATTTATATTATGTGGAGATGAAAAGTTCATATTTCCACTACTAAAGGCCTATTATTTCTCACGTATCGCAAGCGGAAATTTGCGTGTAAAATACAGAACTATGGACACGTAGGATACTAACAGTTGATCAAAATGGCGCTTGCATTTTACGCATCCGCTCTTTCCTTCAACCTGGCCTTCGATGATATCACTCATACTTAGCACTATAATGGTTTATATTCATTTACCACATACATTATTTGTTATAATACAAGTAACTCAATACCAAAACTTCTTGAACACGCATAATAATCCAGTAGCCTTTCTGCGAAGCTTATCACAACTTACGACTCTCTTATTCCTTACATATTTTTCCTCATTTCAGAGGCATTTAACTGTTGTTCATTGCAGGTGAACGCTTTCCTGAATACAATATCATCGCATCCCCCAGTGATATCAGTGGCTGGATTCTTCGATGTAAACAGGGAAATGCTCAGATCGGTAAGATTGAGACCGTCACATCAACTAAACTATAGTATCTGCGATATAATCACCCTTCAGTACACATTTTGAATTGTCTTGCTTTCGTCATATCCATTAATATATCACACTCCGCCGTTTTAAATAAAATAAAAAATACGGGCCTCGTATTTCTAACATCACGGCCAATAGTCCATGTAAAAACGATGGTCGCTCAAATGAGGAAACTCCCAAATTCTGCAAAACATTAAAATTGTGTGATGTTCAAAACAGCATGTCAGCGACACTAACCTGTCATATGAATCTATTCTACATTTTTAAACATAAATATTTAAGGTCAATTTTAATATTTATTTCCCATCTAAGTACAGGTCTCCCAAGAGGTCTCTGCCCTTCAGT